TATAAAGTAATTAAAGTAATTAATTTATTAATTATAAAAAATTGGAGTCATGATATCATTGGAGTATATTAAAATTACATCTTACTTGTTTATAAATCAAATTTAAAAGAAATATTTGACTTATTATAAATTAAATTATAAAAGATACACAATTACCTTTGAATCTTTCTGGTCTCATTCTAGCTGATCAACAAAACAAATATACGTTACCTATCTTTAGATAACTTAGTAAACTCTTTCAACTTAAAGTTATTTAATACATCAACTCTCCCACCTGACTCTATCACATGTACTCTCATAACAGAACCTAAAGTTATATTAAAATGATAACAATATATTGAAAATCACATGAACATACAGTAGTACATCTTTTGAAGGAACATATCTGCTGATTGATATAAACAAATATCTTTTCTGGCTAAATAAATTGTATGTTTATAAGTCATGTGATATGGTGATATTAATTCGAGTTTGCTTAATTAATTCGGATTGTATCATAATTCACTATCTGGTTTTGGTAATAACAAAAATAACCAATAGTATTGTGTATTTTCGAAAAATTCTACTATAATAAAAATTAATGTTAAAAATGGTTTTAAGCTTAGGATTAGGATTATGGTTAGGAATGGTGATCTGGGTTATATATATATAATTTTCTTCCCGACAATTTTTTATTAATGTTCCAGACATTTCTCGGTTTTGTTTTGTCGAATTGATCAAAATATATGCATTCTTATTTATTATAACCAGATCGGGTAAAATACCCTAGCCACGACAAAAAAAAGTGTTGGGTCATGTGACGATAAACCAAGCCAACCAATAAGAATGCGCAACCAATAGGAATATAACAAATTTTTGATCAACTCGGCAAAACAAATCCGACACAAGAAAATAAGAAGACAAAAAACAAATATCACATGACCCGACACTTTTTTTGTCGTGGCTAGGGTATTTAATCGGGTTAGGGTTACGTAGATGCACTCGTATTATTGTTAAAGTTACACTTCTGTCATGAATACGTAATTAGAAATCGACAACGTCATCATCAAAATTAAAATATATGTTGAACGAATTTCTACGAGTGTAGTATAGTGTGAAAAACACGAAGAAAATGTACACGGAAGATTTACCTTACGTTTCGACTTTTGAAGGCGAGCCTGAAGTCTTTTTACAAAGAATAGTGGAAAATTTATGTCTCACTGCAAAAGCTCAAGATTGGGGACCGGGTTGCATGCATTGGGTTAAGCAACTAAATGGGTATGTTTTTCGCATTACCTCGGTTCTTGTGTTGCATTTTTATAAATGCTACTGTCGTTTTGCAAGAATATTCGCATTAACGTTCATATTGTCAATGCTTCATTGATTTTTTTTACATGAACCTTCTTTTTTTCAAAAATCAGATATCTTGACCTTCAATATCCGCTGACGAGAGAAACTCGTGTCGTTTTGGCTCGAATTATGTTTGAACTTTCAACGGCATCGGGTATTGATCCTTCACGTGGAGAGGTATACGCTAGCATTTGTATGCGTCTACTCAAGTAAGAATGTTCTTTGTTTTCTAAATTTTTCGCATTATACTGTTGTTTTTAAATTTTAATCTTATTTGGTACAGAAAAAAAGAAAAGATCGGTCCTGAAGACTTGACTTTACCTTGGAAGCCATTGTTTGAGATTATAGATCGTACTTTTTTTCCAAAGAATCGACAGAAAACGCTAATCAGTGAATCGTATCCATTTTGTCAACTTGTCAATTATTTTTTTATTATGAATGCAAATTTTCTACTCAATTCCAATGAAATACAATATTCAATTTTCGTTACTCATAATTTATTAAACTTAACCTTTCGGATCTGAAACAAGCAAACAAATCAAATCAATTGTACGATTGGTGGACTATGCTCAAAGGTAATTCTCACGCTCAAAAAATCTATTTTATTCTGGCCTGATTATTAGCATCCACCATAACATTTTCCAAACATAGGTTTTTCCCACCTGAAACCTCTGAAGAAATTCTGAAAAAGATACTCCCAATATACAATGCCAACTCTCTAGGCGACGCATTTGTGGTGCAAGCTTATCTTGTTCATTTTTTGCCCACCCGTCCATCAGCAGATGGTGAATATTTAGCAACAAAATGGTTATCAACTATTTTTTCGCTTTGGTATTTGATACCGGGATCTTTGATATATCAGACGGAATTTCTGGATCTTGTGGCACGTGTTGCTGAGGATAATGTCATGATGGACTTGAATGATCCGAATATGATTGGTGTGTTTACTAAAGATCAAGTGAGAACTGTTTTTGCTACTGGCTCGAAGATGATGGATATACCGGTTGGAAGCGCGAATTCTGGAAGCGGGAGAGGAACACCGATTGTTGGGTGGGCTTCAAAAGTGGATATGCGAGCGGGAAGTGCTATGCTTTTAAGGAAAAAGGGGGTAAATATGATGTTATTTTTTTTCTATGTTCGATTTCTCCTTACGGAAAAAATTTGAATTTATATCTAATTTAATATTTGCATAATTAATTATACAATTGAAAGGATAAATTTAAAATGATGGCAAAGTTTATTGTTTTTACAATGTTCCCACAACCCGATGATCCAAGCAAAGAATCGTCTCTTAACCACTTGGCGAATTTGATTCAAGCGACAGAATCTTATTATCATCCGAGTAATTTTGGAAGATGGACATTTTCTATTGTACGCTTTTTACAATTTCTAGGATATGAATTTTTAAAGAGATGGAGAGATGGTAACTTATTTGTTTTATTTATTAATTTATTATTGACGTGATGGTAAAAATCTCATTTTTTTCATGCGTGGTGTATCTTTGTTTTTACTAGAACAAAAGCCTGAATGTACAACGCCGTCGTATCGTCGACTAACTACAGAAATAAGACACGAGTTTGTTCTGATATTAAGAAATGTCACTTTTCTGTCAATGTTTGGCAAAGACGCATTGTCTATTGGGGCTAGTCATGCAGCTTTGAAGTATTTAGCTTGTACGAATTATCTATTACTATTGTGTGCTTGTTTAAAAACTATAACCAAGCTTCTCTTATAATTAAACTCTGCATGATATGTATGTAGGGTTAGAGCCTACTTTGATATTTCCAAGTTTACTAGAACGCGTCTATCCATCACTGGAAACTTTGACTGAGGTAATTAAGTGAATTGTTTAGCAAAGCTGAAAAGTTCAGAAACTAATGAAACGACCAAAATAAATAAAAAAGACCCATCGCACAACATCCTCCATTTCCGCGCTTTCTCTTCTCGCCATACCGCTATTTTCACGTGTTCATTATCCAGCTGGCGGCAAACACCTTGCACCTCTACTAAATCTCGTAATTCCAGGAATCGACATGAACGATCCCATTAAAACAATATCATCGCTTATATTTATAACTCATGCAGTTATGGGCGTTCCTTTGGTCGATTTAACAGAAGGCGCGGCGAATGGGAACGGATTTCGCTGGTCTGGTATAGAGTTTGATGATCTGCACGATGACGGAATGGAGATTGATGGAGCAGAAGAAGATGCACTTTGTAAAGCTAGTACTGCTGAATTTGTAGACTGGGCCACAAAGTTTTATGAACGTGTTTTTGTTATCGTAGGTATTTTTGTTCATTGAAAAGTTTATTTTTTTTTATGGTAATATATCATTGCTTTCATGGTTTTTTTTTCTCCACTCTCCTTAAATGAATCTAGTTCGAATATCTTCCTAAGCAAGACAATAGAAAGATCAAAGTCCATAATATGGAGACAGGATTGGTTACTGTTTTACTGGTAAATTTTTTTTTTACTTATCATATTTATAATACCCAATATGTTCGCTTATATACATACGAGAAAACCAATAAGAAATTTACTTCAACAGCATGCGTGTGAAGTAGTAGGTTTTCAATTATCCGATAAATTACATACCCTTGTCTTAAAGCAAGTAAGCGAATTCGCGTCCTCCCATATAATCCAAAATGCAACCAAACCGATGGGTAAAAAATAATTATTTTCCAATTAATTTTTTATTCATTAAAAAATTATCTTTAACAATTCTTTCGTTCTCGCAGGTTTCCTATGTGCCACACTTACAAGTCCCAATCGCAAAAAAGGCTTGGAAACATTCATCCCATTATGCTATGACAAGATTTTAGAAGAGCTTGAAAGTGATGCTGCCTCCTTTCCCACCGCAAGCGCATCATATTTCCCACCAAGTGACAACACATTGCACTGGTATCAGTGTATCTTGTATCATGTTGTAATGTTTACTGGTGCAGAGACTTTGAAATATAAAGACAAGTTAATTGAATTGGGAAAAAAGATGGCCGAAAAATGTCGGTCACGAAAAGCATACGTTTGGACTGGGAAGTTTATAAGAATGCTCTTGATTTCCTTGACACAAATATACCCCACAGAATGCCGAAATGTGGATGAAGAGCGCTGGAATTCGGATGGTAAAAGTTTTTGGCTACGATATGATCGAATTGTTGTATCTTATTATTTTTTTAGTTTAATGATCAACTTCTTATCTATACAAATATAGAATACAAGAAAGAACATCATAAATATTGGATGGAACCAGGGGACAAGGACAATGTTAAAGTGAATTGGCATGTACCGACGGATGCCGAACTTGATTTTGCTTTGGAATTGCTCGATACTTTCTATAAACCTGCAGTACAAAGTGTCCGAGATTTGATTGCAACTGGTAATGATAAAAACAGTACAACTGGCAATGATAAAAACAGTACAACTGGCAATGATAAAAAAAGTACAACTGGCAATGGTAAAAAAAGTACAGCTGGCAATGATAAAGCTAGTACTCCTGAATTCTGTCGTCATTTGACTATGATTCGCAATTGTTTACAAGGAACAACGACACTCGTAGAAGATGATGGGGATATTGAACCTTCTAAACATAAGTGAGTACGAGGATTTTATAGTGAGCTTATGCTAGTAATATATCGCTCTAATGGTGGTTTTTTGATTAAAATGTAGAGATGAAGATAGCGAGTCTGTTCATGGTAACATAAATAATATTTTACCAGCTGGATATTGCTTCACTGATCCTATGGATCCACGTAGACATCATGTTCGTGAGCTCCGAAAGAATCTTGGAGAATTTATTCATGAGCTTGTCACTCATTTCCGAATTAAACGAGAAGATGATTTGGAAAGCATAAAAATTCTTCTCAAAGTATTTATAAATCAACATTAATAACAGTGGTTCCTTTAGCCTTCAGCGGTATATTTAAACTAAATTTTTATCTCATAGATGACCAAAACTTATCTGACGGATCGTGGGGTAGAAAAAGGAAAATACGAGGGAAGCAAACGAGGGTATCAATATGCCAAGGGAATGTTGAAGACTTCTCATAGAGATAAAAAGTATCCTAGATATTTGTTAGGTACGTGTATATTTTGTTGATAATGTTATTTTATCAACAAATTAAATCATCATTTTCATTACTATTATTATTCTTAGTAAAACGTGCCTATCAACAACATTTATGTCGTCTCAAGCAAAATACATTCTTTAGAGTTCGTACTCGATTACACGATGACTTATTTGAGGATTTGGTTCAACTATCCTTTAGCTCTTATTCGGAAATAAGAAAGTGAGTCTTTTATGTCTAAATCCATTGTTATTCGAAATCCGAAGATTCGGAATATTTATGCTTTTTCAATTATCAGAATAGCTCAGGGTTACCTAGCGAGTGCATCACGTTGCTTTATTGGAGCTAAACCGTTGATTATTCCAATGTTACTGGATGGTTTGCTGCCTATTGGTACAATAAATACAACTAATTGTTATTGATTTTGAAAATGTGCTCGCATTTATTTATTATCTATTTCTCACAAACAATACCTCGGTTTTTAGAGAAGGAGAAATCAGAAGAGAAACCAGTAGAGAAACCAGAAGAGAAACAACCAGAAAAGAAAAGGAAACAAGAAAAAGAGCAAATGGCGCATCCAGAAATAATAAAAGGTGCTCTCTATTTATTAAACTCACGTACTTTGATGCATCCATGTCTTAAAGACTGGAACTTTGTCCCAACGTTCATCTTACGGATTTGTGATGCACATCATGTGGATAAGGCGAGTTCTTGATATTCTTGATATATAATATAGTATTATTCTAATTAATTTAAAGTATAAAAGCATAATTTAAGTTTTACTCTTTTTCTTTGTTGATTATCATATAGCCATCCGTACAGGAATTGATCAAAAAAGTCTTTTACGACTACCTCACAAACTACAGCAATACTATGTTCAAAATGATATCTAGTGATGGGCTGCTTGATGCAATAAATGATGCGCTGACTATTCATTCAATGACACTCGACGAAAACAAATACACTAAATTAAAGACTACAATCGAGAAGCGTATGACATTCCAAAAAAATCAGTACTATTATCTGGTGAACACAATAATTTCAATCATGATGACGATAAACATGGTGCTATGGAATAGCTTTCTAAATTCTTTGATTTAATTATTATATTTTTTGATTACATTATTTTAGTTAGACCAATTATTGGGATTGGTGAATAGGAAAATGCATTGGCGATTTAAAGATATGGCTGTTAAGTTTCTTGACGTGTTGGTGAGACCCGAGGTAGCGCCCACTGCAGATCTAGTGGACTTCGTCGTGAAAAGTTTAATTTCAGAGGACCCGAATCTTCGAAAAATTTCAATCTCAACCACGACACGAATACTGGTTCATATTAAACAAAGAGCACATACACCCGGTGATTTTGAGCTTATAAGTCTAAACAAAGAACAAAATCCATTAAAGAGGACCATCGAACTTCCGAAACCTCTTCCTCCGGATTATACTGAACAGTATCTTCAAACCAGACTTTTACCAATCGATGAAAACAATCTTGAAAATGTGTTTGTATTTTTTTTCTTAGTTATTCTGATTTGAATTTGCGAAAAAAAAAAGAAAAAATTAATTTTCAGAAAAAATAGGTTTCTACATGACAAGATGAATATAGGATGGTACGCATGGCCAGACAAATACGATGCCTACATTCCGCGACTCGATTCAATTGATTTCCCTAAATTTGAGCCATCATCTGAAGGAGCTTACAAGAAGTTTCTCGAGATATTCTCTGATCAAAAATTCTGGACTGAATTTAAAAAGTATCTATCCCAAGAATCATCAAGAGATCGCGAAGACAACTTCTCGGTGCTAAATGGACATCTATTTAAGAGTATTTTCCAAATGTTTGAAGATCAATTCTTGGATATTGTGAAGCCCGAAATCGAGGAAATGTGTGAAGATCCAGAAGAGAAACATCGACAGCGTGCAGCAGCTGAAATATTGGCTGGGATTGTCAGAGGTAGCAAACACTGGAAATTAAGTAGTTCTAGAAAAATGTGGGAATGGCTGATACCGTTACTAGAAAAAACATTTGATGCGATTACTCCGGAATCATTAACATACTGGGAGAGATTTTTGAGCTATTGTTTCGTAAGTAATTTATCTAAGAATTTCGTCCTTAACACTATACTCAAATCAATACCATTTCTCTATTTAGCGAAACCATGATCCACGACGCCTATTTCGCCTAGTAGATCTAGTATTACGATCGAATATTAATCCCAGTTCAAATAAATCTTTCGATGAAGCAAGAAAATTATTTTTTATAAACACACTTATAAGCTGTTACTCTTGGCAAATCATACCGAAATCACAAACACTACTACAAGACTATTTTGCTAATATTCGGCACCCGTATAAACAAGTTCGAGATGTGCTTGCTGCAAATCTTAATATATTGTTTCAGATACAGTGGCATCCGTCGGCACCGGATGTCCAAATACTACTGGAAACGAATCGTAATTTGCCGGGTGGTGTGGGTCTTATCCCTACTAGCTTGCCGGAAAGGTATCAAGGAATGATGAAAGAACTTGTGGATGCATTGGCTGTTTGGCGAGCGGAGAAAAAACCTACTGCTATTGGGTCTTCGGAGTATAGTAATGCCGGCAAAACAGGTTTATTATCGAAAATTTTTCTGCTCTTTTTTTCAACAAATTTCTCATAATGCTACTTTATATTATATCAATTAGTTCTTGCATGGTTCTATGATTCTTTATCAAGTTGGCAGGCTACCGGTACATACTCCTTCATTATTCCATTGCTCGTGGAAATATTCCATATGCAAGATGTAAACGACGACCAAGATCTTCAATCAGTGGCCACGCACGTCCTCGGAATGATCGCTTCATTTACATATCCGCCTGAGATGGTACTAGTCATGATCAATAAAATCATAGAAATATTGATGGAATCTCCGAGTTGGCATATAAAAGTCAAGGCTTTGCCAGTGTTACAGGTGTTCTACTTTAAGCATTTGTTTATGTTGACTCCTGAAGAAATGTTACGAATCATGAATACAGTATCTGACATGTTGATGGACACCCAAATTGAAGTATGTTTTGCTGGGTTTTTTTATTTTTTCTTGTTAGATTAATCTTTTTTTTTAATTTCTTAGGTGCGTCAAATGGCATCTGAAACACTCTCTGGTCTCATTCGGTGTTCTCAACGAAACGCCATTGCAGCGTTAAAAGTTGGTTATACTTTATATTATTGCTTTTTATTTGCTATATAAACATGAACTTATTTTCCTTTTGTAGGAGCGATTCAATGAACTTTTACAAACAAAAATACCACCAAGAAAACGTACAGCCCAAGCGCCACGTACCGCAAAACCTCCCGGATTTCAAGAAGCCCTTGTGAAACGCCACGCGGCTGCACTTGGCCTTTCATGTTTAATTGACGCGTTTCCCTACGAGGTGCCAAAATGGATGCCGGAAGTTTTGGTACAACTTGCAAAATGTATATCGGATCCTGTGCCCATACAGGTTTGTTCTACTTTCTATTTACCTTAAATATAATGATTAGTAATTAGTAATAGTAGACAAATATTTGCTAATTAATATTCAATAATATTTTTATAGACTACAGTCAAAAAGACGTTCGCTAATTTCCGAAGAACCCATCAGGATTCGTGGCATGAGGATACGAAAGAATTCACTGAAGATCAACTGTCGCTTCTTTCCGATATGTTGATTTCACCATCTTATTACGCTTAAGAGAGACATATATAATATCACCAAGTATTCGGTGTATGTCCACTATATTTATTTAATAGATCATCTTTTAAATATAAAGAATCATCCCCTTATTTATCCGTAATTCTATGGCAATAAAATCAACTAGTTAATTATTTGGAAATTATTACAATAAAAACCTTGCTTTATTATATATTATTCTGAAACTGTGCGTGTCTAATTATCTCAATCAAACCAATCAATCTTTTTCTTAGCTTTTAACTTTAGCTGTCGCTTTTTTTTCTCTTTTTTCCTTTTGCTGCTGCTGCTGCTGCTCGTTCTATCCCACGTTTTGAAGACGATGCTATTACCGTCACTTTTTCGCCAGCCTTTTTTTCTTTTGATGGTAAGGATGATGGCTCTATCCCGCGTTTTGAAGACGAGGCTATTACTGTCACTTTTTCAGAATTTGGTTTCTTATCTGTGTTTTGAATAACTTCCTGGAGACCGTCGTATATAGTTTGTAATGTATTGAGTGTACCAGGACTTAGGTACTTGTTTCTTAGGGAGCTTGATATACTGGCTAGCGCTTCTTCGTTTTTGATGGGTTGTGACTTTGTGACTTCTAGGCGAAGTGGGATTGGTACACAGCGATTTGTGGTGTCGTGTGCCATTTCAAGACTAGAGAAATAAAATTTTAAAATTGTGTTATGTAGATCTTGATTGATTCAAGAAAAAATTCGAAATATGTTTCAGGTTATGCGAAGAGTATCTACTCTTCATACACCGTTAACCTGTTTTCACAACGATATAAATCTACGTTATCGCCGTCAAGTATCAACAACTGCAGACTTATACTTTAATTGTTATGTCAAAAGAAGAATTACGCAAAATCTCGTACAAGAAACGCGAATTCTAAAAAACCAAGAGCAAATATTTCCGCGTTCTCGTCGTTTTTATGCAACAACAACAGAAGTTGGACCAAAATATAATACCGCAACCTCTGTATGGCATATATTTCAGTATCTTATTAGAGTTTGAGCAACAATCCCAAACCCTGTAAAATAAATTTTCCAATTTTCTTCCTTTATTAAAAACTGCCATAATCAGTCTCTTACGACCCACCACGCCCGCTTATTCTTTGATAATGTGTATCCTGTTAAAGTGGGCTTTTTTGATCTTCGGTATTATATAGTGAGGCCAAGCAAAGAGGGGTTAGAAGAAAAGGTCAAGTCTGGGAAAAAGTGGCTTCCGCCTGAAAAAGACTTGCCTTATGATTTTAAAGTGACTGGAGTTGAGCCAAGGTTATAGATAAATAAATTATTGACGGATTTTGGTCGACTATTGTGGATCTTTAATCTAATCTATGATGGACGTGGTGTTTGTTTGATCTTTTTTGCTGTTATAATGAAAATAGACGGAGAGAAGGCGGGATGTTTGTCAATTTTTCGTTTAAGACTGATCCTGCTTGGAAAACACAGGCATTGGAGGATATTAGGGAACATGTAGAACGACATTTAGAAAATAAGCATCATGTTCCATGGTTTAGTATAAGTGAAGCTCGCGCTTTTTTGGTTAAGGTGCGTTAATATAAGTGGATGTTGACTTTAGTTCTGAATCGAATGAATATTCAATTTGCAATCGGTGGATTTTATATAGGGAGAGCCATTTATTGAAGATTTGGCCAGTAGATATCCCGCAAGGTTGGAAAGTAACATTCAAAACCTTTATAATAAATATTGAAAATATATCAATTACTAAAAAAACAACTTATTTCTTATTAGTCGATTACGTGTAGAATTTCAAGGACCGGATGTCACTACTGTAAGTCAAACGACTACCATTATGAATTAGTTTCTCATTGTAATTCAATAAATGTTGCGATTTAATCTTTAAATAAAGTCGTCTTATTCTCTATCCCTCGTATTCGATCTAGGAATCTTTATATAATATTTTTCGTCCATATGGACGTATACGAGATATAAATGTACTTCCTCCCTCGGTCAAAGACTTACCCCGATATGCGACAATACAGTATAATGTGATGCGCGCAGCAACCAGCGCCAAGAACTGTGTTCACGGAAAAGTGGTGGACGGTACAAGATTAAGTATTTTGTATGATAGACCGATAGTGAGTAAATTGTCTTAGATTGACAAATGATAGTTTTTTTTGTCTAACACTCCGTCAATCATTATCAAGATTATTGCTGATAAATATTTTCATCTTAGAAAACAAATTTATTCACTGATTGGATGGCTAAGCATCCGAGAATTGCGGTAAGAATTATTGGCTAAATTGTCCTTACCAACTTTTGGAATGATTTTTTTTAACATGCAATTTTTCAGATACCGCTTATTGCAGCATTGATTGCCGGTATCACATACATAATGTAAGTTTCGAATCTGGTTTATCTGATTCTTATTTTTATATTGCAATAAAGCTAAGAATTACTTGAAATATCAACGCTGTAGATTTGACCCCATCCGCAAATTCTTTATTGTTTCCAAAGCGACACAGCGGTTCAACCTTCAAGAGTATCCTCTATATCAATGGCTTCGTCGGGAAACTATTGATCGGTTATGGACCAAAAGAAAGGCCGAAGAAGAGGAGGGCGCATTAGCAGATTCGTGGTCGGAACGGCAAGAGGAAGAAATGAAGTTACAAATATGGTTAAAAGAACCGCCTGGTGGGTTATTAATTTGATTGTTTAACTGTGCAAATTTTATATATCAAAAATGATTTTTTTTGATACTTTAAAAGAAACTTTTATTGTTTTGTTGGGGCCTCGTGGTAGTGGCAAAACTGCATTTATTAATCGGGTAATTGAGAATAAAAAGTAAGTTGTTGATATATTGCATATCTTATTTATTATCATATGAAATTCATTGAACTAAATTGTAATATTAGGACCAAAGTGGTGATAAAATGCGATGATATTCTTAATTCGCGGGATGAAAATGAAGTTGTTCTGAAACTGGCGAAACAGGTTGGATATTTTCCAGTTTTTGCTTTCCTCGTTGCGATGTCCAACATTATCGATTCATTAGCAACTATAACATTAGGTCAAAAAGCAGGTAAATACACCGCCATATATGACTTGCTCTCTCAAAAAATTCAAATTAATTAATATAAATCTAAATAGGATTTACATCAACAACCGATACCGAAATAAAGAAAATTCTAGATGAGCTAGCGATAGCGTTACATGATATTGCTCCAGAATCAATAGCCAAGAAACCTCGGCCCAAAGAAAAAAACAAAGGATTACACGTATCCCCAATTGTCGAAGAATTTGATCCTGATGAGATACCTGTTGTGGTTATTGATAGCTACATGACGAAAGACAAGGAAAAACATGATTTATGGGATCATTTGGCCAAATTGGCTGTTTTATTGGTGGAAAATCGTGTTGCGCATGTGATTTTCGTGACTTCTAATATTGGAGCTATTAAACCGCTTAGTAAAGGTATTTATAATTTTTCTAATAATGGAAAGTCTTATATTGTTTGATTTATTTATTTAATTTTTTGTAATATTATTAGTGCTTCCAACAAAAACTTTTAATTATGTTGTCTTGTCTGACGCTCCTCCGGACAGAGCTATAAACCTTGTAAAAAGACATATTGGTGACGCCGCCAACATTGAGAAAATTGAGGAATCAGTAAGGACACTTGGAGGTCGCTTGACAGATTTAGAAATATTTATTAGCAAAATCCGAGGAGGTCAAATGCCCACTGGTATGTGTATATATATATATATGTATTCTCAATTCAAATAGGATTAAGAAAATTACATAATGATTTTTATTTTAACGCAGAGGCTTTGAATGACCTTATCGCGAAATCAATTGTCGAAATACATAAGTACGCTTTTGGCGATGATGCAGAAGACGCAAAGTCTATTCCATGGAAAGGAATACAGTTCTGGATAATAATGAAAAGTCTTGCACGTGGAGAAACTGTAAGTCTTTTTTCTAAGTATTTGGGCGTTGACGTTTATTGATATATGAAGACGACCTTTCTTTTTTATTTGAAATCCAAAATTAATAAACTTATTTTCAAGGTCTCTTATAATACAATGAAATTCTCGCCGATATTCAATAAAGACGATACACCATTAAAAGCAATGGAACAAGCCGAACTAATCACAATAACTCAGATAAATGGTAATATTATTTTTCGTGTCATACAATTTAAAACCTTTATTAAATACAGATTTTTGTACTGAGCAGGTCGTCCCAACTTGATTCGTCCCGGAAAACCATTATACCAAGCTGCATTCGAACAAATCGCGTCTGATAAAGTATTTGCCGATACTATGGAACTACAAACATATGAATACCTGTTATCATTCGAAACAGCAAAAATACATAAATACGAATCAGAGCTTGCATCTTTAGGACAATTACTTGTAAAGCAGGATGGCAAGTGGATATTTGGCGGAGGAAATGTGCCATCCGAAGTTCAAGATCGAGTTAAATTCTTGTTATCATTACTTCATAAGAAACATGTGCTCACTGAAAATTATCAAACACGAGTGTCGGCGTTGAAAAAACAGGTGGCAGCTGCTGGCAGTTCATAGACTAGTTAAAAGTTTATTTTGTATCTAAACTTCGATAAACAATTGAATGGATTAAATTCCTGGGGTCATCATTATTGTGTGAAAGAAATGATTGCCTTAAGAGTATGGGTAATGTCTTTCTTCAAGGATAGTATACATTGACAAAATTGATATAATGAACTTTTGATATGATGAAGCATAATTAAAATCTCTACACGTTGTCAAAAGTATCGCAAGTGACGCAATTAATTGAGTCAGGCCAAAGTAGTTTCTACTGAGGACAATTCATTATCGCTATGTATAACAAATTTTCATCAATAGCATATGTACATGAGCAGAGCAGATAACTCGAAACCGCAAAACAAAAAAAAAGACCTTGCATAACAATCGTCTCACTAAGAAAAATCATTTGACCTCGCTCTTTTCACTTTCACTCTTTCGCTTTTTTCCTCGGTTCAAATGCACCAACTTCAAAGCCTTTCAACAGGATCATTTATTTGCTTTGAGATAGAAAGATCATTATTATTTCGGCTCTTTGAGAACTTTCACAAAACTTTGAAACAAGAGTTGTTGATAAGAATGAAAGTAACTTTGATTTTATTGGATATGGTAAAAATTGTGAAAAAATTGATTTTGTACAAATAATTGTACAATTGTTTGAGTGATAACAACCTTACTTATGTTTTATATGAATTCAAAAAAAATTAGAAATTGAACTTTTCTTAAAAAAATGCTTTTGAAATAATTTATCAAGGAAATACTAAAATGGTTAAAGAAAAAAAAAATAGATATTTTATCAAAACTAAAAAAAACATGAATAATAATTAGAATTTTTCAGTTAATACATTTTTTGACTTTAATTATAAGCTAAATTGTATTATAAACAATAAATATCAAGTTTAGAATTTTGAATATTGATGGATACTTGCAAAGATAGAAAAAACATCATTTTGTTTCCAAATTAATATTTTATTATTTCAAGAAACTATAAACACTTTCCTCTAGATTGCACATGTGTTTTCCCACACATGTTCTTTGCTACATTTCCATTGCAATGAAGTTTTAATATTAAAATCAAGCATCTAATTGATGCAAAGAAAGTTTTTTCCGTTAAAGCTAATTTACGATCCATTCATTTTTTGTGAAATTTTTAAGACACTAAAAAATCTTATCATTTTGTTACCCAAATGACTAAAAATTCATTCCGAACCTTTATTTTATTTTACTAACGAACATGATCTACCTGGACAATTAGTCTTGTGTATTTTACTTTGGTGGCTTGATTGTCGTTTTTAAGACTCGTTGATGCTTTCTTTTGGGTTCAGGAGCTGGAATTAGGATAAATTTCTTGTGATTAATTATTTGCTGTGGTAGTTGGTAAATATCTGTTATAATTACCATTATCATTTTCTCGTACGTAAAACTTTCTTAGTAACATTATTGCCTCCTCTCTATAATATCCTCCTATCGAGGGATATTGAGGGTGAAGTAAAAGTATTGGGCTAAATGTATGTTAAAAATACATCATTATTCAGCATTAAGAAATCAAATATAAAAAATAGCATACTTACTCTTCATGAATATTAAACACAGATCCAGTTCCACCAAATCGTTCATTTGCACATCCATAATATACTTGTTGAATGCCTGAAAATTAAATACCGAATCGTTTGTTGTTGAGATATCAAAAAAAACTGCTTATTTGATATGGTGGTCGTAAATTTATCTCACCCAGTTGTCTTAACGCATATGCACACATAACACAAGGTTCCACGGTAACATACAAAGAACACTCTTTGAACACATCGCTCGTGTACTTGCCGGAAGATAAGATCGTGTCAATTGCCTCGAATTCCGCGTGGCGTGTTCCCTAATCAAATTTGTTTATAAAATCAGATACTGAAATAGATGACCGATGCACGAATGAAAAATCACTCACGCGTACATTAAGTGCCTCGTTTGTTTTATTACGACCGAAACCAATTATTTCATTATTATGAACAAATACACAGCCAACTGGTACTTCATGACTTTCGTATGCTTCATGAGCCTGAATTTTGATTTATTTTTATGTTGAATAACCAATAAGTTATTTTAATAGTAATCCAATTCATTTCACTTACAAGATCTAATGCTCGTCTCATATATTGATAGTGATCGGTTTCTCTAGACACATTATCTTTACCATCATCGAGCTTTTCTTCATTCATTTTTTCTAAATAGTCAAGTAGTCTTTATCACACATATTACGAACCTTACACTTATGACTCGTACGACTAATGAGATAGGCAAATGTTTATTATCATCGATTTATTATGCATTATTGTTAGAATAGTAATAGCGAAGCAGCAAACATTTTATTTGTTCAGCGATTAACCAACCAAGGTAAAAAAAAAACTTGTTTGATTTACACGACACAATTTTCTTTTCGATAACTTTTTATTTCTGATTTTTAGAAAAATAATAAAAACCAGTGTGATAATAATAACGGGATAGAATTTTTGTGATGTTTTTTTATTGAGGGTGAAATGAAATGTGTGTGTGTGTGTGTGTGTGTGCGAGTGTGTGTATTGTGTTCAATAATAAGAAGATATAAATTTTTTTGCCAGAATTATACATAATTTTTTGAAAGAGACCATCACCATATACGACGGACAACCACGACACATTCATTGAACGATCCAGATTGCTTTATTATTTGATTGATTGATTGATCGACTGATTTGTTTGGTTTGTAGTAACAATCAAACAAGCAAAAAATTAAGTAACTGATCGTAACAGTGGCGTCGTGCGCGTGCTTCTTGGTGTTCGTCTCGTCAAATAGAAAAAAAATAAAAGAAAAAAAATCTGTACATTTTTTAAAGAAATTTGGGAAATATATGCAAGAAAAATATATATTACACAAATCCATTTTTTTAATAATGATTTGGAAAAAAGAGAATAGAAGATGTGTGTTTAAGGTGAGAAATGTGTGTGGTGTAATAAACACTTTTTAGATGCTGCTTCGATTGCTATATCTTATAGCTGCGATTAATACTACTACAACTGGTAGCGTTATATGTATATATTAAGTGCATAATTAAAAAAAGTATGTATATGTGTGTGTGTGTATATATAATTTTTTGATGTCTTTTCACTATTTAATAGATAAATGAGACCAAGGAAGAAAAGAAAAAAAAAGAAAAAAAATTTAAAAGGTGCAAATGTTCATGTTAAAAAATGGTTTCATCCGAAAAAGAGAAAATTAATTTTGGTATAAATGAAAAAAAAAATGCAAAGAAAACCGGCCCAAAAGCAGCAAAATAGTATTGATGATGATCGATGATGGATAATCCGACGATGCTGATGATGTTGATGATCACAAGGACGATGGATCCAATAGAGAGAAAGAGAAAAATTAATAGCAATTTTCTTGTTGCGTTATTATTCCTCATTCTTCTATAAGCACAAAGTGATAAGTGAACCTGTGTGTGTGCATCGATAAAACATCATCTGATATATAAAGCCAGTATATATAAAGTGTATGTATTTATGTATATATGTATGTCTAAATGTAGGAGGGTAATCGTGGTTTGCGCGGGCCATTTTTTCTCAAGGTTTGCGAAATTCAGTCAACACGGGGTAAATCGCCTCAAAAGCTTGATAAATTTCCTCGCGGACCTATCGATTATTAAAAAAATTGCGAAATTCGTAAAAGGATTCATTCACGTGCGTGTTCATCATAAGCGAAAGTGCGTGTGTGCGCACGCGCATAGCAACATACCTTTGCACCAGTCAGCACAATCTTGCCAGACACAAAAATCAACAACACGATCTTTGGTTTCACCATACGGTAAATCAAGCCAGGGAACAATTCAGGTTCATACTGTTAATAGAATAATATCAGATCAATTAACAGACTCGTATCAATCAATCAAACAAATAGCCAAATAGTTTATAAATAACACTTACACTACTGAAATGACCATGCGAGTAAGCTAATCCTTCCAACCGAATAGGGAACTTCACATCGCAAGAACCGACAATATTTTGAATCTTAAAGTCAGCAAACTTTGCGCTGAATCCGAGTTTCTGAATAATACGCGCGTACTTCCGGCTAGCAAGTTTCGAATCATCTTCGGACTTTGCACCGGTGACGACCATCTTGCCAGAAGCAAAGATCAACGCCGTAGTCTTTGGATCACGGATACGCATGATTACAGCAGCGAATCGCTATTTGTTTTAATATATAATATATATAGTGTATATATATTATATGATGTGTATATATATTATATGATGTGTATATATGTGTATAGTTGTGTGTTTCATAACATTTGGAGCGTGCACCACACAGTTGTCTATGCTAATGTTTATTTTTTTTTGATTAACGCATAGCAATGCGGTAATACCTTAGGATTATATTCTGCATTTCTTGCGTGGAGAGCTATGGTTTTCAGGTCTAGTTTACATTCAAGATTGACCGTAGCGACAATATTTCTGGAGGATTAGTTTGCGATTACGTAATAAGAGACGATGGTGATAATGATGAAAGAGAGGAGGATGAGAATCGAAAGAAATTATTAGATGACAATGTTTAATAAAACATCGAATCCCTTTTCTCTTCAACTTACTGTAGAGTTGGTATAATACCGGCCACATTCTGCGGTGATGGTGATTGTATGTTTTCTTCTTCTATACTATTTATTCCGTCATCCAATACAACACCGTTAGTGTTATATGTGAGCGACGAAAGACTACCGGGTGTGCCGGGGATAGCAACTGGTTGTTGGTGTTGTGAGGATTGTGCTGAATGGGCGTATACACCGCCAGTTGGAAGCATAATATGACTCATTTTGACAGAGTAGGGCAAAAAATGTATGAAATGGACGTTTTAAGCTCTTTTGTGTGCGCGCGCGCGTGCGTATGTGTATGGATGAGGTGTGGTAGAAATTACTTGTAGAGCTATTAATAATAATAATAATTATTGGATTGACAGTCGTTAAAAGTGTGTGAAATAAAAGATTGATAAAGTAAAGAGAAACTAATCCTCACTAAAGAGTTTAGATTCCCTTCGTTATGAGTCGTGTTGTTGAATAATTCCTTGAGGGGAGCTGCGGCGCGAAGAGCAATTCCACTTGAACTTTATAAAGGGGAAAAAATATTCACTTGATAGGACTATTTATAATTATATATAGGTCACACGTGTGATATATGTATTTGTCAGCGAGTATTGATTACGGATGGATGGATGGATGGATGAATGGATTGGATGATTGATGAAGGAGCCCACGAGAAACAAGTTTTTGTGACGTATGTACTGTACGGTCTTACCCAATTTGAAACGTTTGTTTGATTGATTGGTCGATGACGATGACGTATATGAGTTAGTTTCAATATTATGAAATTTATTATAAGAGGAACGAGACCATAAAGCAATAGTAGTAACAATCAGATATCAAATAAAATAGTAGCAAACAGGTAAAAATTAACTATTATTTTTTATTATTATTATTATTATTATTATACTATCCAACAACAAAAATTATAAATGTTGTTGCTAGACGCTGGGTGGTATTTATATAATTTTGAGCATGAGCGAATTGGTGAATGTGATTGGTAATTTTTATTATTGTAGCAATAATGGTAATAAAAGAGCAAAAGTTCGTCAACCAACACCACAAAAATACTTACTGTACTTTACAATAAAAATTATATATAAATATATACACAGCCATTCAAACCAACAACAAAAAGATGATTGTTGTGCTTGCCTATGCATATTATTTACATATAAAAAGCCGATTTTGCGTAGTTTTTTTGTGTACCTAATAAATACTACTACTATTATTATTATGATGATTATAAATAATAGTGTTATTTTATATCTTATAATAGGTCACAGCATAAAAAAACTTGATCTGTGACAAGTCCTGACAAATAAATGAAATAAATGATACACTTTTTTTTTTCAACAAAACTCCGTTTGTTCGTGAGTTTTTTTTATCCCGTGTAAATCAATCAATTATTTCGATATCAATCAAATATATCAGTTAATACGGCAAAAATAAAATGAAAAAATTCGGACTGCGAAAAAACGAATGGTCCGAACCCTATTGCTTTTGATATTATACACGGTTCGTTGATCCCAATCCCACTTTCCATTCATCATCACACAGCAAAAATCTGTCTGTGAACGCTCTGCTCCTTCCCTCTCTTTTACCTGATTTTCTTCCCCCCTTTTTTTTTTAATTTATTATTGTTTATGCTGTTAATAATTAGTTGATGATAGAGAATGTACCTACGAGTGGATTGAAAGAGCAAATGTGCTGTTGTGCGGATGTATGAAAATTAATAATATTACAATTTATCTTAGTAACTAGAAATTGGTTGATGGTGATGACGAACACGAGTGTGGCGCAGTAAACTAAGTATTCGATGGGAAAATCAAGCGGCATAGGTTATTAATAAAAGCATTTTTTGAAGAGAAGCGCAAAAGAAACAGAATTAATTATATAGACGTTTCTTCTTCGCTATTTAAAAAAACTCGCAAAAAAATGCTTTTTGCTCTTCCTCTTTTCTTTTTCTCATAGTGAAAATACCAAGTGTTCAGTTTCAACAAAATCGCACCTCACCACATACCTACTTGTTTACTCGTCTTCTTACTAACCATTCTTATAGATCTCAAACCTTTTTCTCGCAAAAAGAACTAAAAGGGAAGAGAAAGGAGCAAAGCGAAAACAACTAAAAGAAACTCGTAAAGTACTAACTAAAGCTTAAAGTGTTAAAACGGACGAAGAACGGTTATTTCAAAGAATAAAAAATATATAGTACTAGCTAGATAAAATAAAATAATTAATAATAGTAATAATAAGAACTCATACTAAGATGATTAACGCTGTGTGTTGTGCGTTGTTTGCACCGTATGTATTATTATATGTGTGTGTGTGTGTGTTTCAAATAAGTCAAAAGTCACGAGAACAATTTAATTAATTTATTTACCTGTATTGTATGGCGGATTGAAAACTCCGTTCGGCCAAGTAATTGGACGATGACATTCTGCATAATTTGTAATACATACAAAAAGAACCGACTAATATTTTCAATTAATAATACCCTTCGGAAATCTATTGACTCATCTCGGACCAAGGCGATATTAACAGATGAATATACAAAAAAGGCAACCGCGACCAGACTACCCTTTTTCGTAAAGACAGCCTTCCTTTCCCCTTACCCAAACGCCAAGGAGTAGATGGTAAAAGCCATTATGCGTCTAAAGATATATTGTATAGGAACCACTATTATTTCACGAAAGTATCTGAACACAAACACGTTTTTTTTCTGCTGGTTTTTTGTGTGTTACTACCACATTATTACTGCCTGCTTGCTGTTGTATTATCTAGAGCACCGAGAGAAAGAGAAATAAAGCAAGGGGGGATGTTGAAGAAAGAGAAAAGGAGAAAAGACTAAGACGATGGTGATGAACAATAACAAGATTTTAGCGTACTAGTATTTATGCTATTTTCCCGCTGTACACTGGAGTACGACATTATTGAAAAATATTAAATTAGAAAAACCAGGTTGACACACGGCGGTATTCGCCGAAATTTATTATTTTTGGTTAAATAAAAAAAAAGCGAGATAAACAATAATTCCAGGTTGTAAGACTCGATATAATTTATACCAAATAAAGTGTCCCCAAATAAAATTCTTTAGATCCGTGTCTATTAGAAGCATCTAGCCTCTAATTTCTGTCTACAATGATGAAATTTATCGAAGTAATGCTGATTTCGGCATGCAATTTAAATATAATGTACAAATAAAAATAAAAATCCTTTTAATTTTTTTTATTTGTTACTCCATACATACATGCACAGTGAATATTCAGTATAACCTGGACGAATGATAAAAAAAAATTACAGAAACAAAATAATACTTATACATTGACGTTAATCAAATTAAGGAAACTAACAATTTATATAACAATTTTGTCCAAAACAAAAAAATGCAAAGATAAGTGATAGTGGATATTGTGATAGTGATGATAATGGTGATTGATTATGAAAAATAAGATGCCAATATAATTCGAATACTAATATAATTTAAATGCCAATATAGTTTAAATGCCAATCTAATTTAACGTTATACGATTGTCTATCGTGTAGATATGAATTAGTTAAATAATTAAAAACCCAATTTCTCTCTACTTTTTCTTGCCGGCTTTGCTACCCTTATTGATATTAAAAGCGCTAATCGCATTATTTATATTCAATCCCGCTATATTTGGCATTTGATTATTCTATTAAAAAAAATATAATGTTAGTTATTGTATATTTATTATAATTGATATATTTTTGGGGGGACAATGATATTACCTTTATAGGACAATCAACCTTTTCAGTTCTACTAAAACTCGGACTCACAGTGACAGCAAGCACCTTCAGACTAACCACCAGCGTGTAGTCAATCGATATTTGTTGTCTCGGACCACCAAGAAACCCGCATTTTAGTAAAATATCCTGCACAATTGCCAGTCCAGGATCCTGCGATGAATCATAATTTATCGAAAAAGGAAAGTTGATTGTCGTGTTTGCTTTTGCTCCGATTTGAACATCTGTCAAATTACCACCTCCGATCGGAGTAGTATGACCAGGATAAAATGCCTAAAACAAAAATATATTAATAATAATTATCGAACAAAGATCAATAAATAAAAATAATTACCGTTGCTTTTATAGATTTGAAATCAGCACCAACAAAATTTGGATTATCGACAGAAATATTCAATCCAAAATTAAAATCAAATCCATTTGTCTTCATCACATATTTAGGCACATTATTCGGTGGGTCAGTGATTCCCAAGAATTCAACATGTGGAGGTTTCGCCCATAACACAACAGCAATAACTATCGCAACTATCAACAAGATCACCAGACAACAAATAACTCTACACATCCTCCCACAACCACAGCAACAAAAAGTACCCATAAATCCACCATATTTCGGTTTTTCTTGATAGTTTCCTCCTCCGCCGCCTTCTCCTTTACCGTATTCTTTATTGTAAAATGATTCTTGCTTCACGCCATACTGAGAAGGAGGACGTGGCGCATTCGGGTCATTCTTATCATACAATGGTTTTGAGACTACGGCTGAAGTTTGATTATTATTTCCTGATTGAGGGAAAGTTTGTGATCTTGGAGGAGGATACGTTGGAACCTTTGGACCATATTGAGTGAAGCTCCTATTCATGGTCATTGGGGCAAGAGGGTAAGAAGAGGATTGTGATTGTGAAGGAGTATGAGGGTCATCAAATGGAGTAGAATAAGGATTTTGTTGACTTGAGTTATAAGGAGGATATGCATCATTATTAGCGGAATTTGAATACCCAGAAGCCATATCATATCGACTATCATTATTGTAATTGTTGGAATATCCATTGTTGGTTTTCGAAGTTGGAAAATTTTGACTATCGTATCCGTCAGGATTAACTATATTATTACTCTTGCTATTACTAGACGGATAGCCATTGGCATTTCCATAATGTCCTCCATTATTTGATTGTGAATAATAATTATTGTTGTTGTTCTGATTGTGAAAAGAGTTATTAAAAGACATGTTGTTTTTGTTTTATATAAATATAAAAGTCTTTTTTTGGTGAAAATGTCCTTTTTTGAACTTTCGTTTGTTGTAAATTAGAACCAGTCTAAACACAATCCACACAATATACAAATATTATTTATTATTATATATCAGGATACGGTACAAGTATATTATATTAATATTTATATTATGATATTTATTAATTTACAAAGCTAAACGCGATGATACTACACACTCAAAGTTTTTGATGTCAGAAACGTTTCAAAAAGGTGTGATGATAATGAAAAGTGTTAATTGATTATCGAAGAAGCACGAGAAATAGAGAAAGAAAGGATGGTGTGTATAGAGAAAGCGAAGAATAGGTGAATAGTAAAGAAGGGAAAAAGTGGGGGGAAAAAGTGTATTACTTCTTAAATACTCAGGGGCCAAACAAAATAAACGAGCAAAGTGCAACCTCTTTTGAGGTGAAATTGCAAAAATTGCACCAGGCAAGAAGAGTGGGAATTCTCCAGATACTCTTTTCACCAAAAGTCACAGATACAACGACTTTTTGTTTTACTTCGAGAATCAATTTTTTTGCTAATACTAGTAATGACAATTAGGTTAATTGAACATCTGCAACTAAATATGTTCTCCAATAATAAATGTAACACATTTGTATATTAAAAATCTATTATGAAACAAGTGCTGTATCACGTTGTTTTCTATTGGAAGTTTCGATAGTCATCGTTATTTGAAATCAAATAAACGTGTTCGGTTTTGTTACATGTACTATGTTTCAGTTTTACACTATACACTCGGTGGACAAAAGTTTACAATCAGGAAATGATCGACATAAATTTAGGGTGGGTATTTTTCTATTGTACTACGAAGCAAGTGTCCAATTGTAACGTAATTTAGCATGTTCGAAAGCTGAGTTTTTTCTTTATCGGAAAATATAAAAAAAATATGTCAACCTTAGAAAATATAACCCAACGTCGCCAGCTTACAGATTTTGAACGTGGCGAAATAATCGG